GCCTACATAGTGTGTTGAACCATGTGGAATCACCTCTGTAGATCTTTTTATACTTGTTCTCGGCTAGTGTTGAGGGAGTGGGTAAGCATGATAAAGACATGCGATGCTGATTTTTTTTTTTTTTTTGATTATGTAGGAGAAATCTGTGAAAGAGAACTGCAATGAGTTCAAGGAGATTATAATGAGATGGTTTGAGGTCGATGATGATTATGATCTGCTGACAGATCTGGTTACAGAAGTTGATGAGAAAAGGTACTTGTTCGTGTCCAAGAACTCGATCGATGTGATCATCATATGTAAACAAACGATAATTTTTATTCAGAATCTTGAAAGGAAGCATATGGAGGAATGAAATAAATAAGACTAATAGCTTCAAAAAATAGATGAAGAAAATCAATATAGGAGTGGTGGTGAGTTCTATCTCGCTTAGTATTTCTTGTTAAATGCACAGGAGGTGTAAGTCACGCTGGAGTTGAGTGAGCCCACATAGCGGGTTAAACCGTATAGGAATCACCTCTGTAGATCTTTTCATACTTGCTCTCGGCTAGTGTTGAGGGAGCGGGTGAGCATAATAAAGACACGCGATGCTAATTTTTTTTTTTTTTAGGAGAAATCCGTGGAAGAGAACTACAATGAGTTCAAGGAGATTATAATGAGATGGTTTGAGGTCGATGATGATTATGATCTGCTAACAGATCTGGTTATGGAAATTGATGAGAAAAGGTACTTGTTCGTATCTAAGAACTCGATCGATGTGATCATCATGTGTATATTTCATAACAAGATGAATTTAATCGAATTTAGAGAAAAGAAAAATACTGTAAAGAAACAATTAGGAATATACGATGTTGTTAATTTTCATAAGATGTGTAGAAGATGAAATTCGAAGGGGTCATCATAACAAATTTATATTATAAAAATTTTGCCAAGACGAGAGCCAAGGAACTCAAAATCTTATTGACAAATCCTGAGCATGCCAAAGTAAAAATTGATGATTTTATTGAAGATCTAAAATCTCAAAGAGTCGAGTTTAAAAGCAGCGAATCATCGACAGAAGAAATAAATGATGGGATCAGAAAGTAATGGTTGAATCCAAAGAGATAAGTATAAGGATTGTTCAAAGAAATTGAATTAGAAATATTGTTGATTGATGTTTATAAAAGTAAGTTTTTATTTGTCAAAATACCATTAATGATCAGAAGAAATGTCTTAATTTTCTATGTAACATCATTTATTATAAGATCGACAATGCAATTTTACGAATTTTCATAAGAAAAAGCTGAAATACAACTTTATTACATCTTCACATCATAATGTTTAAGAATCGCCGGATTCCTTTCTTTATAATAATATGCTTACTTAATGAATTTAAAACAGAAAACAATCTTTCAAAAAACAAATTGAATTTTGCTTTAAATACAGTATGTTCTATACATGGGTGTCTAAAATAGGGATGATTTATGATAAACTGGGGTGGCTGATCATCTAATAGAATCAAACATATGTTTGGTCTTATTGATTTTTGTATAATGATAGATTTTTTGGTCAAAAAAATATAGTGCAGTTTTTATATTAAAAGATTAATAAAATTCATTTGGATATTTAATGCTTAATAATAATATTTTTTTCAATTTTAATATCTTTCACTCTTTAATGCATTCTTAACAACTTTATGTTTTCAGATTTCACCATGCCGTCTGCCGTTAGGGTGGCCGATCATCCAATAAAATCAAGCATACGTCTAGTTCCATATAAATTTGCAATATTACAGATTTTTTTTATCAATAAATTTTTTATAAAATTATGATATG